AGGGAGGCCGAGGGAAGATGAGGGAGGGAGATCCAAGGAGGCCCAGGGAGGACAAGGGAGGACGAGGGAGACCCAAGGAGGATGAGGGAGGACGAGGGAGGGAGATCCAAGGAGGCCCAGGGAGGACGAGGGAGAACGAGGGAGGACGAGGGAAGACGAGGGAAGACAAGGGAGGGAGGCTCAGGGAGGGAGACTGAGGGAGGCGTCACTCTTCAGTTTGAAAACGAGTATTTGTAGAAGCTTCAATGCTCCAGGTTCTGTAACAGGATGGGCTCTTTGGCTCTTTTTCCCCGACACGTTTCCTCCATTTATGGAGTAAAAGGCCAAATGGGCGGGGCTTTGAGCACCACCTGTGGTCACCTGTCTGGTTCTCAGACCTTCGTCGTGTTTTCAAAGAGTTCAGAATATTCTTGAACGTACTTTTTTGAAGAGTTCATCGATGGGATCCTGGACGCACCGACTGCTGAACACCTCAGCGATACTTTGGATGAAGAAGGAGCCGTACGCCGGGTGTTTGTATGCAGCTATGTCTGCAAACACAAACAGGTGTGAACAGCTGTGTGTGACAGTGATCAGTACTGGATGCTGCAGGACTCACGAGGCGCGCTGCAATGAAGAGTGATGAAATCCTTTTCTGTGTGCAGCCGAGCAGCTTCATTTACTGATCGAGCTCTCATGTTATCTGTGGGCACAGGCGGTCTTCCAGGTACGAGCACTGAAACAGACAACGCTTAGTGAAACGCCATGTTCACAGCAGCCGCCAGCAGCGCGCGAGCGGAGACTCACCTCCTCTGGACGCCTGAATGATGACGATCTTCGGTTTGTCCTTCAGCGCGGGACAGTTTCTAGAGTTTAAGCGCTCATAAATTCGGTCAATTTCAATCCTGTGATTGCCCGTTCCACAGATAGTTCCCATGCCTCCGTGGGACATGACAACAACAAACACGCTGTCTGTGAGGGGCAGTGTCGGACGTCTGCTAAACCTTTTCAGAGCTTCGTCCATTTTCTGTAAGAGCAAAAAGTCAGGCGTCAGTCGTTGGGTCACTGTGGAAAAGCAGTGCAAGCCTCAGTGAAGGAAAGTTACCTGTGCAGGTAGGTTCCGATGTCTATCCACCTCGTATCCCAGAGTGTGGAGCAGGTTGACCACGGCCTGCTCATCTTTGTCAGCCCCGTGTCTGGTTAATGCTGGATTGTAAAAATGCATGTTGTTGATCAGCAGGGCGACACGCTTTGTCCGTCGGGGCACATTTGTAGCCTGGATGTTTCTGGTCATGTTGTCGGTGCTCATCGCCATCGCTGCCCTGCGAGAAGATCAGAGGACAGAATCGGCTCAGTGGATCCGTCATGAACAGCTGCTGAATGAGCAGCGCTGCTCAACACGCTGCTCAACACGCTGCTCAACACGCTGCTCAACACGCTGCTCAAC